TCCTTTAGTCATCGAAACTGTGTATTGCATTTAAATTATGCACATGACAGTTTTTCTAAACAGTTTTAGCCTGACACTAACACTATCAATATTATCTAATTGTGTGTAATATATTTTGTTTTTAAACTTTTTGGATTAATTTAGTAGCAACACCATACTGTTTTTAGGGAGAGAGAAGCTCAGCATCAGCCGCTGAATCATTTTTTAATTATAGCCTACAGTTTATCCAGTGTTCATGCAGGATTTGTTTTTCTTGTTTATGAGCTTTAAGCTAAATTATTGCATGTAATCATATAATACGTGCCTGACAGACTCTCACGCGCTTCATTTACCTGGACACTAGATGGGGAACAAGAACCAGTATTAGCCTAAAACATTAAGCCACTAAATGGCAACCTTTTCACCCTCTACACCTCACGTAGCTGACATATGCATTAAAACTGGGGTCTTTTTGAATAAATTACTGAAAATTCTTAATTAAAATTTCTGAGTGATTAACCTCACCTAAGAGGGTTCAGAAATGCATAATTTGAAAAGGTTAATAGTAGGTTGCCAGGAATCAATCTAACCACTACATAAAGATTAATTTAAGTCTGTATTTACATCACAAATCAGACTAAATTGACCACTATATAGATATTCTTTTCTCGTTACCCACCTATTTACACTTAAAGAGTCATATTTCATACTATATTATGTGAAGTATCAAAACTGACATGATAAAAAAGTGCACAGGCTGCCAATGAGAGTTTTGCTTTGTTTCTTTCTGACAACAGCTACACTCCAATTGAATTTTGCTCTTTGTAAGTATGGGGAGATACTGTCTTTAAGAATTATATCTAAAAGAGCTACAGAATGATTAATTATAGTCACTGACCAGTCAGGTAACACACTTATTACAGTTCAGTAAATGTTAGGCAGGATTTACTATTAGGTTCATGAATTACAGATCTGCCACCACCTCTAACATCCTTTGCTTATGTGGAACCACCAGCTGAAAGGTCTCCTTACTGCTTCCCAAATCCTCCTCTGACATTTTCTCTTAACCGAGAGTAACAGGGTTAGCCGCTAAGTGGTGTCATCTAACACAGCTTTTTATTGATTTCCCGCTGCTAGCCTTATCAAAAAAAGTGTGAAGTCTAGGTAAAATAAAATTGCATGAAAGAGGCTACTGAAAGCCTGTCATCCAATGGGGTAAATCTCAATTTGACCTTATTTTCATCTGTGGTGTCTGGAAAGAAGGAAACCGGGGAGATGAAGCCGTCATCAGAGTGAGTTTCTATATCAACAGCAAACAAAAACATACTTCACTTACTTTACTTCCACTATAAAGAAAAAGTGAGTCATAGGGAGTTTGTTAAACATGACGTCAGCTGCCTCATCCATTTGTGACCAAGCCCTGTTCTGTGGTCTAGTAAGACTAGTATCACTGCTTGCTTAAAATGATATAATTTGCCCCTGACCTCAGCAGCTGCAGGAAGAAAACTGACAAATGACAGATTGGTCATGGCAGACACGATGTTTAGAAGCACTGCAGTCATTTTATTACCAAGACAACACTTATGGACTAAGAAGAGAATATCGTAACCTCTTAAAAATGAGAAGTTGTTGTCATTAACTTAAAAAAACAAAACAAAACTTGGCTTGTAAAGCTTTTATTAGTCTGGAATCACCACTTGTTTACAGCATCCAATGTTAACTAACATTAGCAAGCTTCAGATATCTGTCACCAAAGCTGTTTGACAGTTTAGTTCTGTATTTATACTAATGTTAATGTTAGGGACTATTGCAAAAACAACTTGTAAGGCATTTCATCAAGCTGAGTCTGTTATCTGATGAGCGGGCTCACGCAGAGCACAAAGGCAGATGGAAACAAACAATTTCCTTTAGCCTTTACTCGCTAAAGTACAAGTCAAAATCCAAAAAAGAGGCAAATAAAGCAGAAACCTCGATGACAAAATCATATGCACCTGAAAAACTGGGAACAAAGCTAGGTGGAAAAAAGGAAAGAGGGGAAAAACAGTAAGTAAAATCAAAACAACAGACAAGAGAAAGGTTCAAAGTAAAACAGAAAGTGGTCAGAGGACAGCTGAGACAGAGATAGGAACCCTAACAGTAAGAATGAGAAAAAATATAGAAACAAATATGTAATAAGGTCCAAAACAGAAAAAACAACACCTCAGAACGATGACAGCTTCTAAAGAAATTGTATTGACATTTGGCACACTAAAAGTCAGTGTGAAATGGTGGGCAAGCGTCCTCGCCCTCTGAAATCCACAAAGCTGAGCCAACTCTACTGTTAGAAAAAATATGGAGGGAGTATAACCTAGACTCCCTCTATAACCTATAACCTATGCACAAAACTCTTGGGTTGCATTTAACTGTTTAGACTGAGCATTTAACGCTGAGAATGTCCACAGTTTGTAAAAAGTTGTACAAAAGCCTTTAGAGAAAAAAATGCTTCTGATTAGAAGCAACACTACACAAAAACTATTAAGTCTCATTGTAAGTAATATAAGTACATCACAAGTGTTAATATAACTAACAGTAATGGTTTCCATATTGTTGAATGTGCTTGCAGCAAAAGCATGTAAACATTTACAGTGTGATACAGATGGTGGGGCATCCCTGTTTAACATCTGTTTTTTGTCTACTTCTCAGTCCTCAGTGGGAACCATTTATCTCGTCTTCAGCTTAAAGATTTCCATCCGCCCCACTCATGAGAACAATTTTAAAGAGGGGTTTCCTCATTCTCCTTTCCACCACAAAACAGTTATGCCGAAGCCACTCTCTAATTTCCCACCATATTTTGTGTAGCCGTGGAAGTGCTTCAGACAACACACGTGAATCATAAACAAAAGTATGCATGCCCTCTCTTCCTGTTTGGCTAGTGGTTTACTTCACAATTACACATTTTTATCAGGCTGACGTTTTGCCTTTTCTTGTTTACCTCATGTGTAAAACTGCATCATTTCCACTGTTACAGTGCTCCCACCCCCACCCCAGCTTTACCATGTTGCTGGAAAATAACTACCCAGTGCCCCTCATCCGCAAAAACATTTCCTCCCCTTTGTGTTGTGACATAATCCAAAAATTAATTATGATCTTAAGAAGTTCATGTGATGGGAGCCAGCCTAAAGCCCACTTGTCCATTTGATTTAAAACTTGCTAAATAAATGTTTGATTTTTTTTTGACAATAACATAACAAGCTTATGAACTAAAATTAATAATGTCTGAATTTCTATTATATGAACAGAAAAATAAAGAAAACTATTAGGAAACCCACAAAGAGGATGAAGAGAGATAACAGGACCACATCTTTTTTCTTCACAAACAGGACAAAAGCTCATGGAAGTCTAATGGAAAATCAAGAGGAGCTAATGGAGTTACTTTTAAGTATAACCTTATGCATAGCACATGGAACTCAGAAAGCCAGGGTTTTATCACTTCCTTCCTTTATTTTTCTTTCCTGTAAATCTGCTTTGCAGTTCTTTTTAAAGATTTTCTGACAGTGACAGTTTTTTTAAGGTTTTATGACAGTGATGATACATAGTGAGCTGCTATGGGTGTGGCAGGTCAGTGGAAAAACAAAGTTAAAGAGTAGGCAGAATAAATGTTACACATTTTGGTGAGTGGAACACTTGGTCAGACACGAAAGACAACCAGCTTGTTTTCTGTTTTCACTTGTTTTTCCAACTTTCCATTCGTTTTTGTACTTCTGTATTTGTTATTTGATTGTTAAAGCTACAGAAGAGGGTCGGTAAAGTTGGCTGGTCAATATATGAAAATTAGACAGAAAACTGTTTTTGTTAACTGCACAAATGAGTATTGTTGAAAATCACAAGACTGGTGGGAATTAAAGGATCAAGGCTGGTAATTAAAGGGTAAGCCACTTTGATGACAACTAGGTGACTAAGCCTTTTAAAAGACTGGCCAATATTGTGAGTTCCTCATGCGTCATCCCTCCCCAGACGCTGGATTTGTCATCATGTTGTTAGAGGGTTTGTTGTAATATTCTGTTCAAAGGAGAAGCCCAATGAGATTCTTCACTCTTAATCATGATAGCAGCATGGCTTTAGGGGTGGTAGTATTGGTCTGAAATTGTTACAAAACTTTTGATGGATGGATGATTAAATTGTGCAAAGGCTTTAGGTGCCAGGAAACAGAATTACTTCGACAATCCAAGGAATTTTCTTTTCATTTCATATCTGTGGTTTTGTCTCAGTTGGTGGATGGTTTGCAAAAACAAACATGTCTCTGTGTTTGTTTGTTTATTTGTCCCCCAACTCCTGCTAGGAGTTAAGCAACCACACTTGTCACACATGCAAATCTGAGGCCCTTGAAGGTTCGTATCTATATCAAATCTTATATAGCATTACTGTGTTGCCTAACAACCATCTAGCAATGAGCTAAATGGGTCTGTTTCTTTATGCACTTATATAAGGATTGTCATTTTAATTTCATGAAAGTAACATCTCTTTAAAAAACAGAGTACACGTCCTATTAACTGCCTAGTAATGAGATAGAATGACAAATTTTTAGCATTTTTAGCATGTGCATTTCTCCATGTAATATTCTAATCCTAACACCTATTTTTTTTCCTTACCTTCTTTTTTTTCCCTGAGTATATTAGTCGCCACCCAAAGTCCAGCACCCTGAGAGATATACGAGCAACAGAAAGAGGACAAAGTTCATTGAGTGTAAGAGCCACAATTTAAGACAAATCATGGAGCATCTGTGAATACATCAATAAGACGGCCCCTTTAGATGGCTGCTCCAGAAATGCCTCGGGCTACTGAAGACAGACAGTGATGTGTGCTATGGGGGATTGCATTTATTTAATTTTTTTTTCCTGCAGAGGCATTTTCAGTTGTTTATTTGTCACATACTGCGACTGAATGTCTCAGTGACGTGATTTTTGTTTTGCTCAACAAACAAGGGCTTCAAAGGAAGAAAAAAAATTGTTAGTTTTGTTTTTGTTACAATAAGAAAAACAGACTCCTCAGATGTATCCTTTTAATACAAAAAAGTCCAACGCAAAGTGGACATGCGACCAGTGAGAAAACCTTATAAATATAGTAAATTTCATTTTTAAGGTGTCTTATGGTGGATTGTTGTTTTTGCCAAGATTGTCAAGGTTTCTGAGAAAAACAAAAACCACTTCCCTCTGATAATTAAATGTCTGTCAGCATAACTAAGACAAACAACTATGTTAATGAAGGCGTATCCTGCCGTGAGATAGAGCTGAAGTATTACACTGAATGAAATACAACACTTGAGCAGGATACAATGAAACAGTCATCATCACATTTTATTTTGGGCTTGTCTTTGTATGGATCCACACCCTTGTCAGCATAATGGCTTTGTGCTAATCTGTTGACATGACAGTGAATGCATTCACTGATGCTCTCCTCCTAGGAGAGAAACTTTTACATTTTAAGGTGTGATGAAGACTTCATGTTCTTTAACCTGCATAATAGTAGCATGCACAACAAAAATTAGGTTATAAAATCTTTCTCTTATCTAGTAGATTATTTTCATTTTCACAACAGCGTCTCAATCTGTCCAATGAACCCATTCAGTTATGTTTTGTTTTTTTTATCAATTTTGCTCCTTGGTCTTGGAAATTCCTTTCATATTTAATAGAGCCAAATATTGCCTGATCAAAGAGGAAAAAACTAAAGAACATAATGAGAAAAAAAAACTACACAGCCCTTTTCTCATGGGAGTGCAGTTTACTCTTTTTTTCCGCAGCTTAGATCTCAACAATAGACAATGATGAAAAGAAAGTCAGGAGGCAAAGAATGCAGCTGATTGTATCTTTAGAAGTCACCACTTCATTCTACTGACTGAATTAACCACACTGTATGCACTGCATCTCTTTCTAACCTCCTTTCTTCTGGCCAAATGAAACAAAACATTAACATATAACATGACATGTAAAGTTATGGTGGTAAAATTGATCAAAAGCTGCAAACAAAAAAATGTTTTTGCAAGAACAACAAGAAAACAACATTATTGTATTTACTCTGTTTTATAACATAAATAGCAAATAAGCAGCAATAATAAAGTACAATAAAATATTTACAAATTAGGTTTAAAATAATGCAAAAATCAAATATAATATTACAAAAGGCAATCCAAGTTTGATACTTTAACTATGTAAGCTCAGCAGGGTGGATTATCTGCCAAATGAACTGTGGCAACAATGAAAGTAAGTTGTCTTTCCCCGTCAACTCAGCGAGGCACAGTTTGATGGTACATCCTTGGGCCTTTTCATAAAGGTGAAATTCCATGTGAACTAGTGTAAAAAAACAGCAAAAAAACAAAACATTAAGTTGACCTTCATTCACAAAGTAATGCAAAAAAGGGAAATGATGCATCATTCTTTTTTAGGCTTCAATACAACACTAGCAATACTAATATTAACAACCTAAACTTACAGACAGAAAAATGGTTAAATATGTCTGGTGTATTTTGATGGTTTTATACAGATACCTGGGTGAGGCAGGCAATCTAAAGATTTTGGAAGTGTAATAACCCCGGCTTCTGGTCTTCTCTGGTGTCATATGAGCTATGGTGCCATTAAATAAGGAATTTGCATCAGAATTATGGAGTTATATTACTTTTATGTTAAAAAATTTATTAGTTTTATTGCATTCTTAATTGGCAATAAAAAGTGTTAGGTGTTAGTCAATTCAACATTGAGAAATTAATTACTTAACAAAATGACTCTGTCATTGAATGTATATATGAGATCAATGTAGCCTCAATGTCTGAACAGTTTAATGACTGAGCACTTTAAACCTAGATTCTTTCTAATGGCTAGTAGAGGAAGACTCTTGTCACCACAAAAGAAAACTCAGTTGTAAATAGAAAAGCTACCCTTTGGATCCCTTCATCTGTGACTTCAGTAAACACTTTCCTGATGAGTTTTTGGTCTTAATCACTTGTTTGTCAGGTAGGTTTTTTGTAACCTTACCATATAAAACACTTTGAGGTGACTGTAAGATTTATACAGGCGATCCTAGTCGTCTTGGTTTGGACAACCATTCAGTAAACACAGTTGTTGTCAATCAAACAAATTCCCCAAAACAATAAACATGAATCAAACCTCTTTATTGCAAAAAAATGTGAACAATATTTATTGCTTTGTATGTCTATATAAGTATTCTACGTAAAAACAATCTCATCTGTTTTCCTGTCATAGGCCAGTTGTGCCAGGGGAGATAACATTGCTTTATGTTAATGCGATGTGATTTTGATACATTTTGATTGACAATGAGCCATATGACCCATATGAGCCATATCATATGCTGTGTCATCAGTTTATTAGTTATATCTGCTCTATGTTCATCATGTCAGATTTCAAAAAAAGACAGGTGAAAATAAAAGGCTCAGGTTGTTGTGGTACTTCACAAACTAATGGAGATGTAAAGGCAGCTAGGTCCATCTTTTATATGCATTCTGTGGGCATAAGCAGCAAAATATCTATCCATCCATTTGCTAAATTTATTATAACAAATGTTCTGATTCCTTATGGCTGTGACATACAAATCAGCAAAAAAACAAACAAAGAGATTTTGTTTTTTTGCTGATTTGTAGTTCACAGCTGTTTTTGTTAAAGGATTTCCTCCTGACTTCCCTCATTCCTCAGCAGTTTGGAAACACACACACGCACATCTGAATTTCAAACACTAAAATGTAGTGGATAGATTTAAACTGCTGCAGCATATTGATGATATATTACTGTACAAGTCCATATAGGTTCTGAAAATACAGCTCTAAATATTCAAAGGTCAAAAGAGCAGAGCACGCAAAGAGAAGTAGCAGAGGCATATAGAGTAAAATCAAATGTAAGCCATGCATGATGAAGTTAAGAGTAAAAAAAAATTGAACTTACCCTTTTCTTCTCATGTTAAACTTGTGCAAGAGGAAAAAACCTATAATTACACCTGCAAAAAATAATTAAAGAAATGGTTTTTTTTTGTTCTCATTTCCACAACAAAATGCACTATATAAATTCCAAAAGAAACAATATACATTACCTAACAAAACCACAGCACCAATGACGACAGCAGCCACTGTTCCTGGAAAAAGACAAGCAAGGTTAAACGCACATGGAAAAAAATACAATAAATGTTTCTTATTAAAAGTGGGGTTAAAAAACTCACCACTATCCGTGGCAGTATTTACATTCCCATCATGCATGCCTACAAAAGAAATATACAAAAAACAAACAACCACAGTTTTAGTATTCAGTTTAAACTGTTAGGGCAACAAGGATACATATACTGTAGCCAGATAGACAGATAGACAGATAGACAGATTTCACAATTTTCACATTTCATAATTTAGTGTTCTCAGGCAGAGAGCACAAGCACGAAAATGTTAAACTATGCAAGTTAAAGTCTAACTAAGTAAATTTAGTATTAAAAAATTAACGTGTTATATACACATGAATAATCTATGACCGACCTATCTCATGGCTTTATATTAGCTGTCAACTCATGAGACATTATAATCAGTTACAAAGTATCAAAATTGATGTTGTTCAAAGTCTTCGAGAACCTTTATATTCTTTCCACAAAGTAATGACATTCAGTGGTGTACAATATGCAATTTGGTAGTCAATGTAACGTAAAAACAGGCCAAAATATTAAAAAAGAAGGTTCAAATGCTTGAGTGCTTTATAAGACATCTCTCTATCTTGAAAGGATGATGATGTAGTTGACAGAATACCGGCAGAAGTAGCTTTTCCTCTGAAAACTTTTGAACAGCACAAATAGAATAATTCTCCCCAAGTTTCAACAAAGCTTCAAGAAATGTTTAAGTTTTCACTTTAAATTTTTAAGTATCAACAGGATAACAGTAGGTCTATATGAAAAGTCGTTTCATGCATATAATAAATTCATGCTCCTGTGATTAAACAGTATCAATTCAGAGTTTTTCTGTACCTTTTGGTAAAGTTGAGAGATTTGGTATTGAACTGGTTGTGACAGTTTGAGTTCTGTGAACTGTGGGTGCAGCAGAGGAATCTGAAAACGTGGATACTTTTGCGTCAGTTGTTGTCAAATCCGTTATGGCAACTAGCATGAGGAAGAGAAAAACTGCTTTTTAATGGAAGAGGTAAAACCACATAATTCATAATTATTCTCTATATTTCAATATATATAATTCTGTAAAACCACTGTTATCCATTATTTCTCTTTATATACCTTGTGATCGAGAAGTAGTAGCTGGCGCTCTTGTCACTTCTGTCAAATAGGAATAAAAACAGAAAACACTTTCCTTCATATCATGTCAAAGGAAAAAAAAAAGCACAGCAGCAGCAGCTGTTGCTCCTTGACATAGCTTCCCCGCCCCCAACAACTCTTGTGGGGAAAATTTACGCTTTAGTTAATACAATGTTAGGTTATTATTAGAATTAGCGTGCCAGTTAGTAGGTAAACTACATGGATGGAGAACATTTATAAGAGGTAAATATTAAAAGCTGAAGATAATGGCAAATCGATACATTAAATATGGCATGGTTTGGAAGTGGTCAGCATAAAGAACATTCATAAAAACGACATTGAAGAATACAAAAACATCTGTATGATCCTAAAATAATGTAATATTCTCAAAACATTATGACCACCTCGACCTGCTTTGCATCATAACATTAAAAGTAACAAGTAAAACACACTGATGCATCAGCCTTACCATTGCATACAGGTTGATCAGGACTGTATTCACCAGTTTCATCGCATACAACAGTATCACTCCCTATGAGGGTGTATCCTTCATGACAGGTATAACGTATGGTATTGTTGTATTCTGGGTCATCTCCAGAATCCCATGAAGTATTGCCATTGGCTATTGCAGGTTTGTCACATGCTACAACTGAGAAACAGAAAAACCTCTTTACTCCAAAAAAAAAAAAGATCACAAAGTAACACATTTTACTCCTCCTGGCATTAATAACTGACATTGAGGAAAAAAAGTAACAGAACAGAAGACTGGAGGAATGTTTCTGAATAAATGCTTGTCTTAGAAACATTAAGTAAGAGTTTTGACCAGTTCTATGACTGATAGCTAACAAATGAAGACATTTACTTTCGCAAGAAGCTCTGCCACTCCACCCTTGATCATAGCACTCTTTGTAGCTCGGCCCGCTAATCTGGTAACTGTAAAAAGACAGAGTGAAAACAAAGCTGCTTTGTTAATTTAAGGAAATGTTCATCCTTAACAGTAATAAAATTGCAATGCACTGAAAAAACATTTTTACAACTGAATCAATCACCGTTGTTAGAAGGAGAGCCAAGTTTCTAGCCAGTGAAACCACAAAGTAACATCTTATGACAACCAATCTATTTGTCTTTCATATGTATTTTGTTTTCTTTAGAAATATTTTCCATTAGCCAATGCATTCCATTGCACAGACATCAGTCATTTATCAGTACTTTATGCCAGACAACGTTTAGCACTACAGCATGAAGAAATGCAATGTTTGGAAATGAACATTAATATTTTAGTTATTTTTGTATGTCACTACTTCATGATTTTCATTTTTCTTTTTGGATTTTCTTATATTTTAACACAATGCTCAACCAGATAAGTATGAGAAGGTGAAACAGGTTTATACTTGCCCTTTTTCACAAGTTACTTTTACTAGAGCACCAAACAGAGTACCCTCACTTGTATCAAACTTCATATGTGGCTTTGGTGGAGGTTGACCACAGTCTTTCTCTGTAGCATAAAAAACAAACAACAGATATCACTACAGGTGTTTCAGGCTGTACATTAACTCACAAAATAACAGTAGTAGACAAGACTTACTCTTGCAGATGAGCTCTGACTCAGTCCATTGATCATTAATGCAAGTTATAAATTCAGAGCCGCTTTCTTTAATATATCCACTAGAACACTCTAACGTGACCATGATATTCTCTGGGAAAACATTCTTTAGAAGTGATTCATTGGTTAGGACAGTATTGTTCCCTCCCTCAGGTTTAGGACAGTCACCTGGAAGTAAAATTTAAAAAATGGTTTAAAATCAGTAGTCATGACAGTTAAACACTAAACATGAAAATTTGATTAAAATGATTAAAAATGTAAATACAAATTCAGCCAATATCATACATAACTTATAGGCTTTAGTGGAAGACATGAATGAAAATAATCTGCCGATCCTAATTCCTCATCAGAAATCGCTTTTTTAGTAAGGCAACTTTTATAAATAACCTAATGGAGAGGGATAATATAACTTCCTTCGGTGAAGTTTGTGTTAACGTCCTTATTTTCAGTTAGTCACATTTTGTTATTTGTATAAAAACACTGAAAATATAGGTTCCTATTAGGGCTGGGCGATATGACCCAAAATTCATATCTCGATATTTTTTAGCTGGATGGCGATATAAGATATATATCTCGATTTTTCTTTTTAAAGCCATAAGTTAAGAACAAAAAGAGAGTTCTTAGTCACACTGTGTCCCAGATGTCACACGGGCACTTTTATTTACATACAGCGTAGATATTACTCAAAAATAAATTATCAGCATATATTAAATAATCATGGTCCATAAATAAAAGAAAATAATGTTGTTTTTGTGCATAACAAAAAGCTCACAATTGTGCAGTCAAAATGTAAACTAATAGACGCTGAGCATAATAACAAAGAGACAGATTTCACAGCTGCTCCACGTCTCTGAACAGGTGCCATTTGTGGTCCTTATACACACACTGTACGTATCACTCCGCGAGGCTCCTCCTCTGTAGCCGTAATTCTCCGACAATCCATCAAGCGGTGCAGCTCCGTAGCTTAGCAAAGTCATATTAAAACATTTTTTGACAGATTGCTGAGCGCTGTGTACCACATAAAATCGGTTCGCGGTCAGTAAGCACAACCAGAATTCATACATAAGGCGCACTGTCGATTTTTGAGAAAAGGAAAGGATTTTAGGCCGTGCAGCCCCTCTGGGCTGCATGTCGTTAGCGTGGTTAGCTCGCTAACACGTTGACGCCATCCAGCCCCACGCACGGTAACTCGCTAACGGAGATTTTCCGCTTTCATCTTGTCATTGCCTGCAGGTGAAGCTATGGGGGAGGGGGAGTTGTGTTCAGTGCAGGAGAGGCGAGGCCGAGTAACGTTGCGTAGAGACAAAAGTGGACGAAAGAGAGGCAAACCTGCGGCTCCACAAGCATAATTATAACGTAACATAGATTATATCGATATAAACGATATTGTCACATCTTATATCTCGTATGAAAATATATCGATATTTTTAAAAAAACTCGATATATCGCCCAGCCCTAGTTCCTATCATCATAATACAGAAAAAATCTATACCCTTAGTGATGAGATGCACTTAATTCTTAATACTAAGTTTTCCAATGAATATTTAAGAAAAAAAGAGATAATGTTGCCCCACAAAAATGTGTTTTCCTGCATGCTTTCTTTCTTGCACACACAGGAAGAGATTCCCTATATTTCCTAATATTTCCCAACACAGACACACAAAGGGGGAGAGTGTAAAGCCTAAAGCCAGGTGCTTGTTTACAAAAGTCTTTGGTCTTTGAAATGCAAATGCAGGTGTACAATGTATTTGATCATTCTATATCTATAACAGACAAAAGGTTAGACTGATATAAGTAAGCTTACATTCACAAGGTTTTGGAGCGGGTCTATTTTTTAAATTGAGAGAACCCCAAGAGGAAATGAAATTGATGTTAGAGTATGCAGCCAAGAACTAAAGCCTTATTCATTCATTCAGTGAAAACCTGCTTTGTTTTTTTTGGCATGCACAGATTGTAGAGATTGATTTTGGAATGTCTGAATGGCAAACAAAAAATAAACATAGAAACAGGAAAAGTTGCTACCAACATATCTACATAGATACAATCTGATTTTAAAAACAAATCTAATTAACCCTGGGATTTTTGTACTACAAAGGCGGTTTACTTCTTACTAAAGTATATCTTACCGCAATATAACTTATCCTCCAAACCTAACCTACCGCAGAGCGGGTTAGATTAGCGATCAGTAGATATGAAATCTGAGCCTACTGACTAATCAGTCATGACTTTTCCAGAGAAGATCCTCAGATTATCTCTGGAAAAAAGACTAATTTATTTTGTGTGTTTTGTAAAAAATATGAAAACAAGGCCACCTACATTACATCACATTTGTATGTACACTAAACCACATTGAAATTCTACTTTTAGATTTATTCTTTACTACCTCTCTCACGAGGCTGTAACAAACAACAAGAACTAAAACTTCCTTCTAAATATGAATTTAATCAAAAATTCATTATAATCCATGAGATTCTCCTGTGTCTTGATACAGGAGCTATATAGCTGATAAAGCTGTAATATTGATAAGTGTGTTAACGTATACAGTTAGAATTTTGGGTCACTTTCTTTTCTGGCTTCAAAAAGCCTAAACATATGTGGTTGGTGCATAGTAATGAAATTTATATCACAGGGGCCTTTTTGTTTGAAGAAATGTTGACTAATCTTGGCATTTGTAAATGGATACTTGCTGTTATATTATAAAGGGAATACTTAACCAAAATGACAAGAAAAAATGGTTCACTGTAGGTTCATTGTGCTGTGATGGTTGTATGTAGGTTTGTAATGTATGTGTGCTCGCAGAGGTCATTAGTTCATTGGAATAAAGCCACCTCCACACATGGCTCAATGTATGGTGCCTCAGTGTGTGCGTGCTTATATGTATCAACATGTGTAAGTATTTATGGCTATGGCTTTGTACTGGTATCTGGTCATGGAACTACACTCCATTCCCAGATCTAACTTGGGAATGTCTGGTTATTTAACACGTGATCACAGGGATCTCTGTTGCTACTGATGTTGTTTTTTTCTACAAAATAAGAAAACCAGTAACCACTTGTGACTAATTAAAAATACCAAGATTGATTTCAATTATATGTGCTTCAACTTAGTGTAAATCAGATATTTAGCAGTTGAAATAAACGTTAAACTTACTTTTGAGGGTATTAAGACGTCAAATATGTTGTTTGAACAACAAATTGTGGCTATTTTTTCTCTCTCTCAACAGACTAGGTAGTATGTTATCATATTATAATGCTGAACCAGGCATTCACCTGTCCCTCTTGGTAATGTAAGTGTTAATAAGTAACCATGGATTTCTTATTTCAGTAGGTCTTCCCACTGGAAATGTTAAGAGGTCATTAATAAATCTAAATCTAAAGTTGTGGATAAGTAAACCCTGGTAAACTGAACTAAACAAACAACTACTAAAAATATAAGAAAAAGAAAAACTTTCTACTTTTTGGTTGTCTTAGCTTAACTGACATCTTCGCTCAAAATATTATTTCTCACTTTCTAAATTTGTTTACTTCAAAATAATCGCAGGAGTGCGCTGTATGGTAGAATAGTAGGTATTTCTCATCATGACAAGTTATTTCAAATATTCGTGTCAGCTAGTGGTATTCAATGTGAAATGTATAAAACGGTATAACTGTAAATATCTCAACAGCTGCTGATCATTTCAGAGATATTCATAGAAGTTGGCGACTTTTCTTTTCCTCTTGCTCAGACAGTAAAAAAATGTAGCATGGCTCTCTTAGTTAGAGTTCTCCTGTGACTTGGTTGATAATTATTATCTCATTAAGCAGACTCCCCCGAGAATGGTGTTACTACTGACCTGCTGCGTTTACGACCAAGAGGTACATTAATAGCAGGGACTTGAGTCTTCGTTGTGTGTCCAATAGAGTTTCCATGTCGCAGAAGGACAAAAAAGATCCTGGTCCAACTCTGGAAAATCCTTACGTTAACCGCAACTTGTTCAGAGAGGCAAGAGAGAGACCTGAACCTTTCCTCAGACTGTCAACTCTTTACTCTCTGCTGTCTGCGAACGCGTCATGCTGTTTGTATTGCACGTGTAACCGGAAGTGAAGTAATTTCCTCCAAAATAAAAGCCTAGAAGAAAGAATAACCCTCTCCAGAAGAAAACTGCCGACTGAATTAGGAAACTAGCCCTTTTAAGGTAAGTACATGTTTGTGATTTTTAAAAAATATATATAATATTGATGTATGAATTTGTAGCTTTCTGAAGGAAAACCTGCGCATACAACTTCACATTTCACACTCTGTAAACAACTCAGGTAACGTGCAAATTCTTACTGTTCAGTTTTACGTGTTTAAATGTTTAGATATGCACATATAATTACAACTGATTGTACACTTCATAGTCTTTAAACAACTCACGTTTAGGCCTAATGTACAATCTTTATGTCCAGTCTTATTGTTTAAATCCTTCAAAGACATACACATGTTTTTATACATGCATGTGCATATATTGGGTATGGGTATGTGTGTATGTATATGTAGACATAATTATATGCGTATGAAATATGGATTTAATATAACGTAAAAATTGTTTCGTTTATTTTGAAATGCTTTGGAAGTATTAAAGGAAGTTCTGCTAAATTTATACGCTATATATACATGTGAGAGGTTTTTTGCAACTGGCAGCAACCCGAACTGCCTAGTCAACTGCCCAATCTGTTCCTGCAAATAGAGTAGGAGCGGTGATATCTCCAAACAGTACAAAGAGGGGAAAAGGTGAAACATAACTGTCTTGGAAAAGAAATCGGCCACCCCCTCTCTGTATCTTTAAAACCTCTTTTTTGTTTCACGGGTCCTCAAAAGGTGAAAACAGTTATTTCTAATAAATCTATATAACGGAATACGTGGTAGACATTATCTACTATAACAAAAATCCACTTTTGGGTGCGAACTTTAACTAAACAAAAATGTGAAAATAGGAAAGGCATGGCTGAAGTTGTGAAATCGGGGATTCCCTTCGTAGCACTTTATATAGTCAAAGTCTGAGTCACTTTAAATGCTTTGGATTTTTACCATGGATACGGGCTTTGTTCAACAAGGGGACTGCGCCTCATTGCCTCATAATCTTGTCTAAATTCCAAGCTCACCAGCAAAACCGCTGACAGGGGCTGCCTCTTTTTCCACCCAAGAGTTGCCGGAGAAACCATCTAGTATCACTTAGAAACAGGACAACAAAGCGCAAGTGGCCCGTATCTGTACAGTAAAAGACTGGGGTGTTTTTAAGAAGTGCGAAAACACCAGCATATGGGATCCACTTTTTTAGTGAGGCAGCCTGCATCACTCTAAAAAGTAAACTAATGAAAGAAATTAGAGCCCCAACCCATTTGTGAGTGCAGTGATGTAAAATCAATCAAATGTAAACTATAAAAAGTATGCGGTGCACCTTATTCCCTTTTAAGGAATATTCAAAAAGTAGCATTAGTGGGTAACTGCTTTTTGTGAGACAAGCAACGTCTTGTGCTCAGGTCTCTTTTGCTATTCTTATCTCTCAGAACACCATGTTCAAGTGACTGATTAAGACGCCTCCCTTCTCAGCAGCCCCCATCTGCTTCTCATCAAGTCGGATAATGTGGAGAAGAGGGTGCCAATTTTACAGCACACTGCTGAATAATTCACCTGCCTTTCTAATGTTGAGACATACCAATAAGGTGACGTGAACAGTGGCATTATCATACAGTTTAACTCCACCTTCTTTTGAAGCATCGTCTTATCTATGCCATGGCAGGTCTGTGGATGCAAGGTTCTCATTTGGAAATGCCTTTCCCCTCAGTATCACATTTTTTTAATCAATCTACAGGATTAAAATGTTCATCTCATTCATGCTAAAACAACATCCATTTTTCTGTTACTGTCATTAATGGTGACAAGAAATAATGAATCTTCATTCAGAAAAAACCCCAACAACTGATGACTGGCGGGAAAAAAGTTTTAAGGAACTAATGTCCTTCAGTGACATCTAGTGCTAAAAAGATAAACTGCGATTTAAGAAATGTGGTCGCTGTGATCCATCAAAATGTATAGTCTCAACAAGCTTAATGTCACTTTTATTAAGAGTAACTAATTAAATTATTAAGTGACAAAATAAAGTGTGTGTTGTTTATTTTTCCATTATAGGACTTGGAGGTTGTTGCTGTAACATGCAATACAATAAAATACAATAAAGACTTCTTTTATTAGATTTTTTTCCATCTATTTTGTATCTGTAACATTTATGTTATGCTATATTGGAATCACTGTAACAACTTTTTTCAATAAAAATAAAAATAAAAGCTTTGCGCAGTGGCAGTATCGTAGCCTATGAGGTTTATCCGAGGCGCGATTATTGCTCGTTGAAAACTTTACCCAAAAATAAAAATGAAAATAATAATATTGATACTGATAAGAAAGTAATAACATATATTACCAGTAGTTACTTCACCCCTTATTGCTTGATGTTGTCAGTGACTTTGTAGTTTTCGTACACCTCCTCACATCCTCTATGGAGGCTTACTTTTATAAAAGTGCCTATAAGAGTGTCTTCATGTATACTGGAATACGAGAGGTTGTATATTGGACTTTCATAGAGAGACTAAAACGTCTGCAGATTTTAAAATGATCGTATGATTATACACCCTATATAAACGCTGAGTGTAGTTTCTGATTCCAAAGATGTCAAATCAATACTTAATTCCTGAAAGTACTATTCTTTATATTGGGCAACAGGGGACGATACTTCTGGTTTCAAAAATCTCTCCTACTGCATGGAGGTCACTGGGAAAACTGCTCTTTACTCCACTTGATCTGAGACCTCAGTAAACAAAATTACCTAATGAGTTTATGGTCACTAGCTTCTACTCCTACAGGCTCTAAAGAGGCTTCTTTCTGCTCTGAATTTGGTCTTTTTTAACAGGAAATTCTAGCGACTTTTTGAGTCAACGTTAAGCGGCCATTAAAGGAATGATAATGGGACTTATCAGGGCCATTTCCTGCTCTATATCAAGTATGGTTTCCTTATTATACTAACATACTTTTACTTAATCCTTTTGAGTACACTGCTTTAGTACCTTTCCTTAATAACTTTCTTCTAAATAACTGTGATTCTAAATATTATCTTATCAGAAGAGTTCCTTGGGAATGTTCTGCTGCTTCTATGCTGAAAGTCTAGCTCCACCCTGTCTTCAACACATTCTTTCATCCCAGTACCAAAAGTAGAACACAAGATATGATGATTTTCAGCCGTTTAAAACAATTAAGTCAATTGTAAGTCATCCACTCATTGTTTAGGCTGCTCTTCCAATGGCTGAGCTGTTCTCAGAGGGGAAACTCTTAGTGTTCTGTATCACTAAAATATTATTCCCAGTACGTTGTTAGTTATTATGTGTTTTAGCGCCCTCTGTGGTCGTTTCAAGTAATGCACCGTAGAAATGGTTTGTTTTGAAACAACTTTATTGAACAGGAAGTCAGCTCAAGGAAAGCAAGCGAGCGAAAGAAAGGGAGACATATCGGCACACGGCTTATGGTGTCCTGTCGGAAAATTTACTGTCTACATCTTTGGTTTACGGTTGTATCGCCGGTATGTACTTAAAGTTAAATTACAACTTGTTTTTGTACATTATGTTGCCGCTAGCGCAGTATTTGACCGTAAAGCTAATCTCGGTGCTAAGCTAGCTATCCGCGATGTCGGAGGTCGTCTGAGATAGCCTCAGTAGTTGTTTAAAAGTTTATATAATTAGACGTATGCTGTGTATTAGTATTGCGGTGTATAAATGTATGTTATGCTACGCTTATGTATGTCTTGACTGTATTTTTTGTCTTGTTTCTAGTTTTACCCTTTTGAATGTCAGTAAACCTGTTGACAACGCCCATCGGTCTTCAGAGTGGTGATATGAGAAAGGTGTTCACGCCCTTGCATCAGACATGCACCCGTAACGGCACAGTAAAACGGCGACATCCGCACGAACAAAGATAACGCAGTCATCGCACACTAGAGTGAAGCTGACCACTACTGCGCCTGGGAGCAACACGGCATACAGCAGTGAGCCAGCAGTCGTCTAATCAACTCCAACATGTCCAGCAAGGCGTCATCCCTCAAGACCCGGTCCGAAGCTTCGTGTGCCTCCTCTACAGGTTCTGCAGCAGCCAAAGCCAGAGCAAAAGCTGAGGCAGCCAAGGCACGGCTCAGCTTCGCAGCTAAAGAAATGGATTTGAAGGTAGAAAAAGCACAAATAGAAGTAGCAAAAGCTAAAGTCGAGGCATCCATCGAATATTTACAGCATGAAAAAGATGTAGCTTCAGCCATTGCTGAAGCAGAGTCATTAGAAGCAGCTGCTGCCACACAGACAGAAACGCGCAGCAACATCTGTCCCTCAGTAACAGCAGAACGAACTAAACAGTATGTCATTGGCCAATCTACATTTGTGAGAAAAGAAAATGATGCTGCTCTTCAACAATCACAAAATGAAAATGTAACACAAAGTAAATCAGAGCTCACCTGTGATCAGCCACCAAGCCCTAAAAAGGAAAATGACCCACAAAAAATTCCAATTGGTCTAACAGATGATCCTGACTGTTGCCAAAAAACTCCAGTCATTTCCCCTTCTCCCCATGATAATAAAAATTACAGTACCAATTGGTCAAATCAGGTGTCAACATCTAGCTTCCATAATGCTAGGCCTTTATACAAAGAGCCTAGAGAATCAAATGTGAGTGACTTCATCAGATACTTTGCTCGTCGTGAAATAGTGGCAACAGGGCTGCTCCAGTTTAATGACAAGCCCCAAAACTTCAGAGCTTGGAAACGCTCATTTGAAAATGCTATAAGCGGGTTAGATCTAACGGCAAGTGAAGAAATGGACTTGATGTTAAAATGGCTTTGCAAGGAATCGGCTGAACATGCAGAACAACTCAGAGCCATACACATCAACAACCCAGTCAATGGCCTCAACATGATATGGGACAGACTTGAACAATGTTATGGCTCAGCTGAAGTGATCGAGGATGCACTGTTTAAAAGAATTGATGCATTCCCAAAAATCTCATCCAAAGACTTTGCAAAACTGAGAAAATTTAGTGACCTGCTCATGGAAGTGCAGTGCGCTAAAGCTGAAGGAGACCTCCCTGGTCTCGCGTTCCTAGATACAGCAAGAGGAGTAAATCCAATCATCCAAAAACTTCCCTTCTACCTGCAAGAAAGGTGGATTACGGTAGGAGCCAACTACAAACGCACAAAATGTGTCTCCTTCCCACCATTTAGTGTTCTAGTAGACTTTGTTGCACAAGAAGCTGATGCTAGAAACGACCCCAGCTTTAACCTCACACCATCACCTGATGCACCCAGACCAGACAAACTATCTTGGAGGGCAAACAGACAAAAAGAGATTTCTGTGCACAAAACTGATGTCATCTCTCGCACTAGTTCAGACACACAGAGGTTCCCAAACAAAACTGTACATGGTGAAAAGATTTGTCCAATTCACAAGAAAGCCCATCCTCTCGCAGTGTGCAGAGCATTTCGCATGAAAACACTGTTAGATAGGAAAATGTTCTTAAAAGAAAATGACTTTTGCTTCAGGTGCTGTGCTTCATCTTCACACATAGCAAAGAACTGTAAAGCCAAGGTACAGTGTTCCGAGTGCAACGATGAGAAGCACTGCACGGCTCTCCACCCAGGACCAGCTCCCTGGCTAAAAGAAACCGAACCAGCAGCAGAGCATGGCGGGGAGCCTGACACCACTGAATCAGAGGAGATCACTTCTAAATGCACTCAGGTTTGTGGTGTGAATGAAGCAGGCACTTCATGTTCTAAAATCTGTCTCGTGAATGTCTACCCAGCAGGCCACCCACATCAAGCAGTAAGGCTTTATGCCATCCATGATGAACAAAGTAACAGATCACTAGTACGTCCGGAGTTCTTCGAGTTGTTTAATGACTGCGGCCCTAGTTCCCCTTACTCGCTTAAGACATGTGCAGGTACCAAAGAGACAATGGGTAGAAGAGCTACAGGTTATGTAGTGGCAGCTTTAGATGGTTCAGTCCACATCTCACTGCCTAGCCTAATTGAGTGCAAAAATATCCCAAATGACAGAGACGAGATCCCCACACCCAGTGCAGCTAGACACCACAGCCATCTAAAGTCAGTGGCTCACCTCATTCCTGCCTTGGACTCTAACGCCCCATACTAATGCTTCTTGGACGGGATGTCATTAGAGCTCACAAAGTCCGCAAACAGATAAGTGGCCCTAACAACGCACCCTATGCTCAAAAATTGGACCTAGGATGGGTCATAGTAGGAAACGTGTGTTTAGGTGACGTCCACAGAACTCCTGCAGTAAGGACTCTGTTCACAAATGCAACTGAAAGGGGACGTCCCACAGCATTCGAGCCATGTCCTAATGTTTTCAACATAAAAGAGAAACATTGTGGGATACAAGTTCCACTCAACTTCAGCTCCCAGCTGGCAGACAGTGCTTGTGAACCTGATCATTTAGGATGTAATGTGTTCAAACAAACCAGAAATGACAACTACATCTCACCTTCCATCCAGGACAATGCCTTCTTAAAATAATGGAGGAAGGACTAACAAAAGACACAGATAACAGTTGGACAGCTCCTTTACCATTTAAAATCCACGCCGAAAGCTCCCTAACAACAGACCACAGGCCCTGAATCGCCTAATGTCTCTTCTTCGCACCTTTGAAAAGAAGAAAGAGATGAAGGAACATTTCATCACCTTCATGGACAAAATATTCCAAAACAAACATGCAGAGATCGCCCCTACACTAAAAGAGGATGAGGAATGTTGGTATCTGCCATTATTCGGTGTCTACCATCCCTGTAAACCCACGCAGATCAGGGTCGTCTTCGACAGCAGCGCCAAGTATGAAGGCGTATCCCTGAATGACGTTCTGTTAACAGGACCAGATTTTAATAACTCATTGCTTGGGGTCCTAATACGCTTCAGAAAAGAAGCCGTTGCCTTCACAGCAGACATCGAACAGATGTTTTACTGTTTCAACGTGCGAGAGCAAGACAGGAACTACTTACGCTTCTTGTGGTTCCGTGACAACGACATTTCCAAAGAAGTTGTGGAGTACAGAATGACGGTCCACGTCTTTGGGAACAGCCCATCGCCAGCAGTAGCCATATATGGCCTGCACCAGTCTGTCCAACGCGTCGAACCGGACTGCGATGCAGATGTGAAGCAGTTTGTCATGCGTGACTTCTACGTTGATGACGGACTCAAATCTCTACCTACTGTTGAAAAAGCCATATCTCTACTCCAAAGAACCCGAGACGCACTTGCAAACTCAAACTTAAGACTGCATAAAATAGCAGCAAACAGGAAGGAAGTACTAGAGGCATTCCCGACTCAAGATCATGCCAAAAATCTAAAAAACCTGGACTTCGAAAGTGATTCGGTGCCCATGCAGCGTAGCCTAGGTCTCCTCTGGGACCTAAGTAAAGACCGCTTCACCTTTGAAGTATCTGATGAGTCAAAACCCTTTACCAGACAAGGTGTTCTATCAACAATAAACAGTCTCTATGATCCGCTGGGTTTTGTAGCACCAGTCACCATACAGGGGAAGTCGATTCTACGCGAACTTACAGCTGAAAATGGGGACTGGGATGCTCCACTCCCTCCCGAAATGGAAGAGTCTTGGACACAGTGGAAAGACTCACTCAAAGACTTGCCTAACATGACCATTCCCAGAGCATACACAGACATTTCCCCTTCAACAGCCGTGAAAAAAGAGTTGTGTGTTTTTTCAGACGCATCTACCAAAGCCATAGCTGCAGTGGCCTATTTAAAAGTGACAGATGCAGAAGGACACAGTCAAGTAGGCTTCGTAATGGGTAAGGCTAGCTAGCACAACGCCCAGATCAGACTATTCCAAGATTAGAGCTTAGTGCTGCCGTTTTAGCGGTTGAGCTCGCAGATCTTATCTCAGATGAACTTGACTGTAAACTAGATCACACTACTTTCTACACAGACAGTAAAGTAGTCCTAGGTTACATCTACAACGAGTCTAGAAGATTTTATGTCTATGTCAGTAATCGTGTGACTAGAATCCGCAGATCTTCTCAGCCATGCCAGTGGCACTATGTAGCTAGCAGTCAGAACCCTGCAGATCACGCCACTCGTTCTGTTCCTGCATTCCAGCTGCCGCTTAGTAACTGGCTCACCGGCCCTGACCTTTTACTCAGATTCAGAATTCTCCGAATGACTCCTATGACCTTGTAGAACCCAACATGGACGCAGATGTAAGACCTCAGGTAACCGCACTCAAAACAACAGCCTCAATTAAAGAACTGGGCTCAGACAGATTCACCAAGTTTTCTACCTGGAAATCCCTCACACGTGCTCTTTCTAGACTAATACATGTCATCCACAACTTCAAATCACCACCAGGCAAAGCCAATCACTGTAATGGCTGGCATTACTGTGAAACGGGACTTACTGTGTATGAGTTAAAGCAAGCTCAGAACCTTGTCATTCGAGCAGTACAGCAGGACATGTATGCTGAAGAAATCAAGTGTGTGCAAAAACATGGAAAACTACCCAAAACCAGTCATCTCAAAACCTTAGACCCCTATCTGGACAAAGAAGGACTCCTTAGAGTAGGTGGTCGCATCAGAGACTCAAACATTAGCCAAGGTGAGAAAAACCCTCTCATAGTTCCTGGCCACCACCATGTTGCAGCGCTTCTCATAAAGCACTACCACGAGCAGACCCAGCATCAAGGTCGCCTTTTCACAGAAGGAGCCGTTCGCTCCGCAGGATGGTGGATAGTGGGCGGTAAAAGAAAAGTGAGCACAATCATCTATCATTGTGTTACCTGCAAAAGACTTCGTGCCCCTTTGAGCACACAGAAAATGTCAAACCTCCCTCCAGACCGTCTCACAACGGATCCCCCGTTCACGAATGTGGGCTTAGATGTGTTTGGTCCGTGGTTTGTGTCTTCACGACGTACAAGAGGAAGCGTCAACCAGAATAAAAGGTGGGCTGTCATATTCACTTGTTTGAGTATTAGAGCAGTTCACATTGAAGTGGTAGAGTCACTTGATACATCTAGCTTCATTAATGCATTCCGACGATTTCTGGCCGTGAGGGGACCAGTGAAAACTGTTCGCTCTGATCGAGGCACCAATTTTGTAAGTGCATGTAAAGAACTGAAAATCCCTTCAAACTTGGACAACACAGCTGTGCACACCTTCTTAAAAGAACATGGATGTAAATGGACTTTTAACCCACCTCATGCCTCCCATTTCAGCGGAGCATGGGAGAGAATGATAGGTTTAGCACGGAGAATATTGGACTCTGTTTTTTCAGCTTAAGACCACTAAACTCACTCATGAGGTTCTCGTCACCTTCATGGCAGAGGTGGCTGCTATCATAAACTGTAGACCCCTCGTCCCGGTTTCATCAGACCCAAGTGACCCCTTTATCTTGACTCCAGCTGTTCTCCTGACTCAAAAGGTAGCACCCCTTCAGGCTCCAGCTGAAAAATTCACAGCATCAGACCTCTACAAACATCAGTGACGCCAGGTTCAGCACCTGTCGAACATCTTCTGGGACAAATGGAGGAAAGAGTTTCTCCCTACCCTACAGCCACGCCGCAAATGGCAGTCTAGCCAGCCTAACGTGAGCTTAGGAAGTGTTGTGGTACTCAAAGACAGTCGAGTGCCAAGAAATGAGTGGCCTCTTGGTCTCATAACTAAGGTGTTCCCAAGTAAAGATGGTAAAATACGTACCGTGGAAATTAAGGTAGTTAAATCAGATGGTACAAAGGTGTTGACCAGACCTATCTCAGAGATCGTACCCTTGGTGCCTTCTTAACGTGTTGTTTTCTTCAACGTTTAATCGTGGCGTTATTCACGCCAGGCGGGGAGTGTTCTGTATCACTAAAATATTATTCCCAGTACGTTGTTAGTTATTATGTGTTTTAGCGCCCTCTGTGGTCGTTTCAAGTAATGCACCGTAGAAATGGTTTGTTTTGAAACAACTTTATTGAACAGGAAGTCAGCTCAAGGAAAGCAAGCGAGCGAAAGAAAGGGAGACATATCGGCACACGGCTTATGGTGTCCTGTCGGAAAATTTACTGTCTACATCTTTGGTTTACGGTTGTATCGCCGGTATGTACTTAAAGTTAAATTACAACTTGTTTTTGTACATTATGTTGCCGCTAGCGCAGTATTTGACCGTAAAGCTAATCTCGGTGCTAAGCTAGCTATCCGCGATGTCGGAGGTCGTCTGAGATAGCCTCAGTAGTTGTTTAAAAGTTTATATAATTAGACGTATGCTGTGTATTAGTATTGCGGCGTATAAATGTATGTTATGCTACGCTTATGTATGTCTTGACTGTATTTTTTGTCTTGTTTCTAGTTTTACCCTTTTGAATGTCAGTAAACCTGTTGACAACGCCCATCGGTCTTCAGAGTGGTGATATGAGAAAGGTGTTCACGCCCTTGCATCAGACATGCAACCGTAACGGCACACTTAGCATGATTGAGATGCAGAGGTTCAGTACTTTACACACAGTTTTAACAGTTAAAACACCCTTAAGAGCTCAGCTGAAGCTTGTATATGAACAACTGTAAATGCATGTAGTGAAAACCTTAGGCATTACTCTCTAACTGAATGAATTTGACACAAAATACTCAGAAAAAAGGCACTGTTAAGCCTTGCTTAGATTTTTTTTTGAAATAGATATTTGATCTGTGATTCTTTGGAATTAGCCCAACTTTAAATTACTGCTTGAAGAATCTAGTACAAGTAACTTCTTAGGCCAAGCATGTACTTCTTTTACAACTTTGAATTTGCAGTTAAATCTTTTCGAAGCACTTGTAATACATTATGAGCCTTCTACTGAAGTGTTTCAGCTTTGTGTAAAATGCATGGTAGGACACCTAACCACATTTAGATCTTATCATTTATTCCTTTCATGGTGCCTAAAATTTATAGAGGATTCAAAACCGCTCTTAGGGTTTCACTGGGGCTCTGAGCAGATTCGCATTCTCATTCTAAATATGTTCACATGAGACACGATGGCTTTGGAAATATATACAGCTTCTCTTGTAATTGAAAAACTATAGCTCAGTCAGTTACCATAACAACTGGAAATCTGCCATAGTAACAGTAGCATATTCTTCTGCATCATATATGCAACAAATTACTTAGATGTCAAAAGTGTGACACTTGAATTGTTATTTGCTTTACATTTATACAGATAAGATGATGACGATCATTTTATGTGCATCTCAGTTTCAATACAACAAATCCAGAAACATGTTTTCAGCAAAACTTTATTTTTCAGTGCATGAACAGAATACCATATCAAGGTCATTGCCTATCCTTTTCAATCCATTTTTAAATATTTTTCTCTTTTTTTACATAAAAAAATAATGGAGCGATTTAATATACCTCTATTTTTTTCTCCCCAAAAGAGCACTCGGCAAGTATTTATAAAGGTGCTGTACAATGTACAAACATTTACATCTACTGTTCCTACAGAATGTAGAAGATACCACAAGGATTGTGTTTTTCTTTTTTCTTTTTTTTTCTAATGAAGCAATGCAAGGCCACAGTATGATGCAGAGATGTCAAACAAAATTGTTCAAATGAAAGCATAAAGCTGTACTACAGTGCAGGGGACATACAATAAAAGAGGATATTATCTGATTCTGAACCAGAGTGAACTTTTTTCAGCACTCGGGGTTGGATTTACTCATTCAACCAACCAAACTATTGCACAAAAGCCTACCACTGATTGGCTCAAAGTACATCCTCTAGGGATTTGTAACCTGAAAACTCCTTTATACAATCACAGACTTCAACCACCATTCAGCTCTCATTGATAACGACTTTATCACACATTTGCTACAATTCAGTTTTCCCTGAGCTCATCTGAATGTGTTTATTTCAAAGTTGTATTTGCAAGTATGTTGAGTATATTTGCGTATCACTTCAAAAATCCTTTAAAGCGGACCTATTATGCTTTTCTTCATTTTCTGTCTGGCACAAACCTCAAATAATGAGGTCATTGTACACACAAGCAATCCAAGTGAGCCAAAAGCTCAGACTGCTCTAAATGGTTTGTTATTTTTAGACAGTTTTTTATTTGAAAGAATGCTAAAGACACACAGCAGCCCCTCCCACCTGCTGTTTCTGTTTGCCAATAAGAAAAAAAATTGGCATAAAGGTAAGGGCCAAGGAACTAAAACACATTTTTCCAGACAGAGAATGACCTGAATGCTACACAGCGGCCCAATATAACTTAAACGAGTATTATTATTAGGCAAATAGGCAAAGCGACTCTTATGGTGTCCAAGTATAAAAGTATGGAGCTATAAATCAGCATAATATGTCCTCTTTAAAGTAACAGTGAAATCTGACTATCTTATTTTTATAGACTGCACATTATAAAACTACACTGGTCTTCTCTGTGCTATTGGCTCCCTTTAATATGTAAGGTGGAGAGTTTTCTGTATACATGCCTTATTTCAGCAGCTTGTTCGGTATCTTAGTAAACCACATCATTCTCTGGCCTCTTTCATCATTCAAGCTACCCTGGCACATAATCACACAGCAGTACCTACAATATAAACCCTCATTTATCTTTTCATCAACAAGCACATGTAAAACAACCAGAGACATGATTCAGAACTTGCACAGCATTACATAAATTGCCATTTCCCCCTTTAACAGTGATCATTTCAAAAAACCAAAAAAAAAAAACCCATTAAATAAAAAAAACAATAATAAATGCAATGTTTTGGTAGCAAGTATACATCACAAATTAAATACAACTCATGGTCAATCTGTTTTGCTACAAGGGCAGATGCGGTGCAATGGAATTAATAGATAGAATTTCCAAAACACACATTCAAATATATATATATATACATATATATTATATTTCACAATGAGACACATTTTGAGCAATTTTAAACATTTGGTACAGCAGTTTGCACGTTACATCTATACATTTCATGAACTACAAATTTCATTGGTAATTCCTACCACTGAAGTACATTGGAAATAAGGTGAAAGCTCAAATAACATGGGACAAATTTCTGAAAGTCTTTATCAAAATGCGGAATGGCTTGGTACAGCTACATATACATATATTCATCTATTACCTCAATAAATTACACACTGGTTAGTTATCATACACATGGTAAACAAGATCTCAAACCACAAGTTTCTGGTCTTTTAAATGATACTGTCTGTATGAAGGTGTGTCATGACTATAGCCATAGAACAAGCTAGATTACCCAGTAACACTTGCTGTATTTGCCTGGTGATCAGAATGAAAATTATAAATACGAAATGGGTTCATCCTCAGCGATGTACAGAACGCGTGCAGTAAAACAAACAGAAGGACCGACTGCATGCAGTTGAGCAAACTGATAAGAAGAATACAGTTGAAATACTCAACAATGACACTGAGAGCAAAATTAAACCCTAGATGAGTCACACTGTATATTCTACAGACGAGAGGCGAGGGCCTTTCTCTTTTCTTTGCATATGGGTCATTGCATTGTAATGGGTGAAGCGCTGTTTGTAGTCGTCGTTCCACAGGAGGCTCGCGGGATTGGCACATATTCACATTTCTGAATGTCTGGTCTGACAAGGCCCCGAGCATGTCCTATATGCTGAAGTCCCACGTCAAAGATGCTAAAGCAGCAGACAAGGCGGAGGGGAGCTGCTACATGCCACATGTGATGTCACAGGGCTCCCACAATACAAATCTGGCCACAGTCTAAAATGGATAAATGTGGCACCATGTTGCACTTCTCTGTTTTATGGAAGAACTCAGAAAAATAATCCACTGAGGATACTGTAAAATATTCCATGGCACAGCTCACGTCCTTGTGATTCAATATTCCATCACAAAGGGTCACGGAGGACTTCTGCCTCAGAGAGGATTTTGGCTGAGCTGGGCGTTTTCCAAGGGCCAGGGCTAATAGGTCCCTTCAGGGTTTGTAGGGCTCCTGGAATGCTGTTTACAGAGGCCACAAAGTTGTCCTTTAAGCTGTCTTTGGATTTAGAAAATGTGTCTTCTCTTCCTTTTATATCTCTTGGTGAATTCACAGAACCTTTCCTACGCCATACATTTTTAAAAGACAGCGGTGATTCTCTTTTGCTAATAGTCTCTTTACTCGTAGTCCTGTTTTCTGTAAGTTTACCCTTGGCATCAACGTCTCTTTGCCCTGAGTCTTTACCTGTACCTTTCTCGCTCTCTCTTAGTGTACTAGAAAATGTCCTGTGGCGGTGAGATTCCCCAATCGACCTTCTTTTATAACTTTCTTTCTCATGCAGAGACTTGGTCCTTTCTCTTCTCCCTTCCATCTCCCATCCTTGAGGGTATTTTCCAATCTCAAAATTCCCCCCTTTTCCATTTTTCTTTTCATGACTTAAGCTTTCTCTACTGGATGAACCCTTTAATCTCTGCTGAAGGCCTTGTTGATTCTCGGTGCGTTGCAGGGCTGATATCCCTTGCTGTCCAACGTGAGCGGACTTCCCAGGACTGGCAGATTGCGTTTTTGTCTGTGTGATAGGCACCCTTTTTCTGTTCATTGTTGCTTCCTGTGCCTGACTCTCAGTCTCTTTGGCTTTAGGAAAAGATTCCTCTGTTTTCTTTGGGCTGCTTAGCTCTCTGGAGTCGTTCGTGGGCCTGGTCCTCTTGTAGAACTTCACATGCTCATTGGAGGTGGGAAGGAGCCCTTCTCCCTCCGTGTCCGCCCACTCAACACTTTCCTCCACTGAGCTTAAACCCCCGCTGCTGCGGGATTTGCGGCCTTGTGGAGAAAGTGTGCTCCAGCTGCGAGAATGCGTCAGTTTGCTGGAGAAAGGAGAGGAAACAAAGGTGGAAGCCCCGGTGGGATATGGAGAGGAAAGGGGTGATGTGTCAGAGAAAACTTCTCCAAAATAGCTTGTGGGTGAAATGACTTTTTGATCATGTCGACCTGCAAGAGCAGCACAAATTTGACATGAGACCATAGGTATGCAAGGATAATAAATATGGCACACAAAATACTTAAATTCAGAATAACAGGAAAAGTAAATAAGATTATATTATATAGAGGTAAAGGTGGGAAAGCATGTGGGAAAAAAATTACCAAGGTAAAAGAGAAGAGCCCAGTAAAAGCAGTGAAGGTGTTAGTGTTGGTGCTCAGTGTAATAGCACACAGTAGAGGAAGCTGTATTACCTGCATCAGGGGAAAGAGAAGAAACGCCAAAGGAAGCAGACAGTTAAAGAGTTAATGACTAAATAAAAACAAAACAAAAAAACACACACACAGCAAAGAAAGCACATTGAAATCAATGAGGGCTTAACTACAAAACAGGCTCCATCAACTAACAAATGGATGCAGTAATTATCATTAGGTGGATTTATTGTTTGTGCATGTATTTAACTACTGGCAGTGTTCCTTCCTTGTAAAATGGGAAATAGCAGCTAAACTCTTTAGGAAATAAAACAATTTAGTTTCTATCTAAAACTTCATGTAAATATTAAAAAAATATTAAAGGAACAGGCTGACTTTGGCATACCAGTTTCATAACAAAGCTAAATACAGTATCAAGCTACAGCCAGCAGACGGAAAGTTTAGATAAGCATTAAAATTGGAATGATGGGGAAAGAGCTGTCTTTGCACTGCAAAGGAAAAGGTCAAAATAACACCCACACCCTTACACACACACACGCACACACACACACGTACGTCTACAATTATGTCTATTTGTAAATGTCATTGAGCCACTGGCAACCACATGCTTTTGTTTCCAGTTATTCTGCATTGTTAAATCCACCCCCAAAAATTCTAACCTGAGTGATAATACAACATTTCCAAGCACAAACTTTGCCCATATCAAACGCAACGCACTGAATAGTTTCAAATGATGTACTCACTCGCATCTTGAGCAAGACCTGCCCCAGGTCTCAGCAGCAGTACCACTTTGTTTCCTCCGGCCTGGATCAAATCAATAGCCCGTGTATGGGAAATGCCACGAGCCGGCTCCCTGTTAATCTCCACTATCTCATCTCCAACCTGTCGGTAATTCAGAAAATTCAATTGTAATACTAAAATATACCTATGAACACTTTGCATCTTTTGCCAGTCAAATTCACTGAAACACTTGCTGAAACACAAAATTAAAGTTTTATGCCATGCACACATGCATACACTCCCTTTCTCACATACACACATCTGCCTACACACACACACACACACACACACACACACACACACACACACACACACACACAGAGTTTTGTAATACCCTGGAGGTACCTGCTATTATCGGAGATGACAAAATAACTCAGGATAAAGCTTGTAAACATGTCAGTTTGATAGACTCTAATCAGATAGAGTGAACAAGCCTGTTTGTGCAGCAGGCCGGGATTTAGATTCAAAGACAAAAATTTGCAAGGAAACCTCAACACAACCCTTTGACTTTTACAGTGTGGGAGCATTGTCTTTGTCGGGAAGAAATGATAGCAACAAAGTGATGAGAAAATAACCACTGTGTGATCCCTTTGTATCAGAAAGTCATTCTTTCTACAAAGGACCTTGGACCAACTCTCACACTGACTCCCTCACTAGAAGAAAAGAACTATTGTTTCTCATCAGAATATGTTCTCAGATGACCCTTTCAATGATCTTTCCACCGATGGG